CTCCACACTTAGAATACCTCGATAAATCAATAAACCACAAAACTGAAAGTTTAATACAGCTTACCTTTAAAGAATTTTTCCAAGAAATTAGAAATTTTTAGATATTTTTTGCACTATTATTACACTGGAATGACTTAAACAGTTATATTTTACTTTAATTTTTTTTTGTTTACTATACATATTTATATATTATATATTAGTGTAATACAATCCACTAGAAAGTGCAGTAATTTCTCTAAAATACTTTAATTACATTGGATAATATTTATGATGTGAGGATATTCAACATTTCATTCACTCATTGTCTCAACTCGATTATTTTAAAATCTTATGGATTTTTTTTACACATAATTTATTAAATGTATTTTGAGTGTGAACATAATCCTATGAGTGTGAACATAATCTTATAAGTGTGAACATAATTTTATAAATGTTTCATTTACTATAGATTGGAGGATTCTTCAATTTTTCCTCTCAAGATGATGACACTTTAGGTCCATCAATCTCGAATTGAATCCTTCTCTAGGGTTAACAACTTACCAACTTGAATTTTGTATTATATATTAGATCCTTTTAACATTTGGAACTATTTCAAATTACATTCCCATAAGAAATATATTCCAGAGTTTTCAATACTTTTTATATTACTTCAACGTGTATTCACACTAACTTATTTCATCGTTTCGGTCGCTAACTTGTTTCTTAGATGCACCAGCAAGAATGAACGGTATATTAGACACTTTCAATTCGGCTGATGAATACCTCATCGAACCGACTATCAACAACAACAGCTTCAAAAACAACTTGGCCATGGTAACCTTCTTCTTGCAATCCTCGAACAACAGACGAGAAAACCTTGCAAGGGTCTACATCTCTAGGAACCACCACATTCTCACAATCCCATCAGACATAGATACACGAATTTCTGTAAGCTTTGCTGGCGAGATCTATTTAGATGATATTATAACTAACTTATTTCATTGTTATACGAGAGAAATATCTTTTACATGTAACTATATTTTAAATAAATCAACTTTTTTTTGTTTTCAATCGTTAAATTTGTTTCCCTATTTTATTGAATCTTTAGTTAAAGAATTAAGTAAGTGACTTACTTGAGAATACAGAAACTCAAAACACAAAGACCTTTCTTCTGTTTCAGTTTCAGTTCATTAGGGTTATTTTGGGGATTCGACTGTAATTCTAATATGTTTAAAGGGTAATTTGGGGTATATGATCGTAGTTAGACTCTGCCAAGTAAGTACCAAACAATGGTCATCAAAGATGTTTAAAAGTGTTTGACGATCGTCTTTAAACTCTTAAAAAAGAGTGAAAAGCAAAAACCATCAAAAAAGCGTCGACGCTAAGCAGAGAATTTCAAATTCTCTCCCTATCTCTCTAATCTCGAAGTTTTTTCTCGTTGCCAGAGGTAAAATGCTTTCTTCTTCTTCCTCTGTACGAGTTTTCCCTTTTGATACTTCCTTAAATGTCAAAAACACAACCTAATTAAGGAACTTCCTTTCGAGGGTTCCCAATTTCATGTCGATTTTGATGATAAATAACGGAATCTCAAATATTGATTAGTTTTTGCAGTTCGAATTTCGTTTCCTGGGTTGAGATTGTTGACTTGTGGAAATTTTAGGTCTACGGATCATTCTGTGTTAAGTTGTTGCCTGGTGCTTTGAAATTTTGATCGGTTTATGCTGTTCTGATGACGCGTGAACATGGAGGAGATGAACAATCTTCTTCTTCTGATATTGACTTTACTTTTGCAAAAAAATCAAAAAAAATATCGTTGATTTTCGATTATTCTGTCTTTCTAAATGCTCAAAACCTTATCCTGAAACTATTCTTTTGAAGTTCTCTGAAAGTTTCTTTTTTTTTTGTTTGAATTCTCTGCTGTACTGTAATTAGTATGAGAAAAGCATTAGCAACTATTATGTTTCGTATCTAAAAAAATATGCCTTATTGCCATTTTGCATTTTGCAATTTTCATCTATCATCTTAAATCCTGTTCTGCAACACCATTTACTGAACATTTGTGTCTTAACATGTTATCTATTCATGCACACAGCATGACTAGCACCTTACTCTGCAAAACTCTTCATTGACACATATCATTTTTCCATGTCACTGTTCAAAACTGCATACAGTTTGGTGGAAACTATAGTTTGGAGTGTTCTGTTTTGTTCAATCTCTTTGTCATAAATAAGTTTAATAATCTACTCAAACCTTGTTTTTTTTAAACTCTTTGCTGACACTTTTGTCTTCTGCGCACACTATTGCAGTTTAGTTATCTCTTGTGAGAGAAGACTGTAATGAGCTGTTTTGGTTGGTGTGGGAGTGATGATTTTCGTAAAGCTGCTGACTCCGGGCCAATGCCAGCGCACAACCCAGCAGGTTTTTCAGTTCCTATATCAACTTCATTACTTGCCAGTGTTTCTTTTTAGTGTCCATGCTTAATGGGATTTAAAATGTTGTAAAGGTTACAATGGAGGCCACTATCAAAGAGCTGCTCCCCTCATGAACCAGCCAGTAATTCAGATGCAGCCTGTTTCTGTACCAGCCATTCCAGCGGATGAACTGAGAGATATAACCGATAACTATGGTTCAAAGGCCTTGATCGGTGAGGGTTCATATGGAAGAGTGTTTTACGGTGTTCTTAAAAGCGGTAGTGTAGCTGCCATCAAGAAACTTGACTCTAGTAAGCAGCCTGATCAAGAATTTCTTTCCCAGGTAGAATGCTATAAAGTACACCATTCATTTGGGAATGTTCTGTCTATTTTTGTTTTGAAACTGATGTATAAACTGTAACAGGTCTCAATGGTTTCGAGATTGCGACACGACAATGTTATTGCACTTATTGGGTACTGTGTTGATGGTCCTCTCCGTGTTCTTGCTTATGAATATGCTCCTAACGGATCTCTTCATGATATTCTTCATGGTGAGTGATTAACGTAAAACCATTTATTGCATATGGAGCAGTCACTCAATACTTGAACATCTGGAAATTAAAGATACATAAGGAAGAAACTAATGAAACGTGGTGTCTCTTTGGTTCAGGTCGAAAAGGTGTCAAAGGAGCATTGCGAGGTCCTGTTATGACGTGGCAACAGAGAGTCAAAATCGCTGTTGGTGCAGCCAGAGGACTTGAGTACTTGCATGAGAAGGTGAACCCTCAGGTTATCCACCGAGACATCAAATCCAGCAACGTACTTCTGTTTGATGATGATGTTGCCAAGATTGCTGATTTCGATCTTTCTGATCAAGCCCCTGACATGGCTGCGCGCCTTCACTCAACTCGTGTGCTAGGAACCTTTGGCTATCACGCTCCAGAGTAATGACCCTTTTAGATATTTACATTATCTTGACTTCATTCAAAAAGTTTGGTTCTCATGCTCTAATGTTATGAGACACTAATTCACTCACTTGGATTTTCTTATCATTTTTTTTTCTTACCTTTACATTTTTTTCCCACCATATGTATCTCTTCTCACTGACGAATCGAGAGCTTAAACGTTTTGGGTTTATATATTTCAGATATGCAATGACAGGAACATTGAGCACAAAGAGCGATGTGTACAGTTTTGGTGTTGTTCTGCTGGAGCTCCTGACGGGTCGTAAACCAGTCGATCCTACCTTACCACGTGGACAACAAAGTCTGGTGACATGGGTAATGTGTAGTACAGCCTTCTCTGGTTCTGATTCTGGTGCATTAATTAGAGAAGCTTTTAAGAACACCATTTTTAAAAATAAATTACTCGACTCAGTCAGTCTGTTAACAATGAGTTAAAGGTTCAAAACGTCAATGAAACTTGGAATAAAAGAAAAAAAACCTCCTTAGGCCTATAGAATTGGAACTTAGTGTGTCAAAACAACGAAAGAAGCTTGAAAAAGTGAAAATCTGTGCGAATAGATTCATTAGAGACTCTAAATGTTTACTAGAAATGATAAAGACGTTGTGTGTTGTCTCAGGCGACCCCTAAACTAAGTGAAGACAAAGTGAAGCAATGCATTGACGCAAGACTACTCGGAGAATACCCTCCCAAAGCTGTTGCCAAGGTATTAACACCATAAACATTGCTTTATTCTCATTGTTTCAACTTTCATTGCAGCATAAAAGATGTAACTTAGAATATAACTTAAAGGACTAGTTATCTGCTGACATTAGAACCAAAAATAGCAAATTGAAACATTTCATGAGTCTGATTTTATGTGCCATATAAATTGATCAGCTAGCCGCGGTGGCTGCACTCTGTGTACAATATGAGGCAAATTTTAGACCAAACATGAGCATTGTGGTGAAGGCACTTCAACCTCTTCTAAACCCTCCTCGCTCTGCTCCACAGACTCCACATAGGAACCCTTATTGACCAAATATCTAAATCAAATTCTCATCTTCTTCATGATGATGATTCAATTGTGTATTCGTTTTTTTTTTCTGTTTGTATGTGTGTAAATTTCTATGTACTCTCATTAACTCTTTGTTCTAGCTGTGTATGTTTCTACATTTTTTCTGTATTATGTCTTGTAATTTGTGAATGGGAAGACAAGAAACCAAATTTTGTTTTCCTTATCGTTGAAACTCATTAGCAAATTCTGATACTAAAAAAAAAAACAAATTCTGATGCTACTACATTTTCTTAACATGATGTTTTGCTACATGTATAAATAAATATTAATATTATAGTTGTGGTGCTAATCTACATTTGTTGTTATCACTCTCCATTTAGTTCATTTTTCCTTAATTAGAATAAGTATCTAATTGTCCTCAGAAAAGAAGTCAAGTATCTAATTAAGATAGCCTAGGAACATAATGGGCCTATTCAGCCCAAATAATCCTAAACTAATTAATTAAGCTTAGGTAAATCAATCTCCCATCCAGGAGATGAAATCGTAGCCGTTAGATTTAGGATTTACGATGACGGACATTCATCTCTACCGTTAATTCGTTTCGTAAATTTTCTTACGTTTTACCTCGATAAAATCTATTCTTTTTTTTAAAGTTGTAAATCTCTCTCTTCTTCCCAAATGCAGCAAGCATTATATGCGCACACAGCACACAGTAGCTTCCCAGTTCTGACAAATTTCTACGTCCGCTTCCATTAAATAAAGAATCTTCTTCACTTTCTTCGTCGATTCGCCATCGAAGCTGTTACGCATTCCATCATCCTTTTCCTCTCACTTTCATTTAAATTCTTGTAGACTCCGGCAAAAAATCTCATCCCCAAGGTCTTCCTTCGTCTCTCTCTCTGATCCTTTCGCTAATGTTAAACTAGATTCGCGCGATTTCTTCAAAGTCGAGATTCGCATTTTTCGGCTTCTCGTATCGAGGTATTGATTACACTTCCTGCTCCTCGGATCTGATTGTGATCTCTCGATTTCTTAGTGATTTATGATTTTGGGGTTTTGTGTAGGTAACTCCCTTTTTGTGTAGTTAATTATCAAATGTGCGATGCAATTTATACTATTTTGGCTTTTGGATTTTTCAGTTTTCGTGTCATGGAATCTCTCTGCATCTGTTGCGTGCGGGATACTTCCCTTGTATTGATGTTGGTATTGTGACTATCGAACAACTGCTGCATCTACTTACGGTGATATCTTTGCTTTGCTTCTGAGAAGTGGAGAGAAGAAGAAAAAAATGGCGAAGATGATAAACAAGACGCTTGTGCTAACCTATATCTACTTACTGATCTACATTCTGCTTTCTTCTGGAGTTATACTGTACAACAAGGTGATTTCAGAAGCTACTTTACTTTGTGAAACGTATATGGTGTTTATGTAGATCTTTTTAGTTTGTGTATCTGTTATAGGCTTATCTCCGAACTTTAATTTGAGATGTGACTTGAAATGTTGTGCATATGAAATGAATCTATAGCCGATGACCTTTTCGTAGTCTTTGTTGTTGATTATAGCCATTTTTTTTTCCTGTTTTTGTTTTAGAGGCTGGCTTTAATTAGCTTCTATTGTTTTTGGATTTCATTTGCAGTGGGTTCTATCTCCGAAATACTTCAATTTTCCACTTCCTATAACATTGACAATGATCCATATGGGATTTTCTGGATTTGTGGCCTTCCTTCTTATTCGAGTATTCAAGGTATTCTGAACTCATAGTATAGCATTTGTTTAGATTATGCATCATGCTCATCTATGTGGAATTCGGCATATTTGACCTTCTTTTTGGATTCTTCGACTCCTTATAATGGTCAAGTAACAAGTATCTGCTTCTATAATGTAGGTTGTTTCTCCTGTTAAAATGACATTCGAAATGTAAGCCAGCTTACTATATTTTATCTTCCATTTCTGATGTAATTTCTATCATCTCTTTCTTTTTAACATATCTTCCTGGATTCCAGATATGTGACCTGTGTGGTACCTATAAGCGCATTCTTTGCATCCAGCCTCTGGTAAGTCTTTGTTCCATTTACAGTTTGACGTATTAGGTTTATAGATACTCTTTGTCTTATTACAGTACATTTCAAATGTTGAATTTGCCATTGCTTTTCCATACCTGCTGTCTGAACTGTCTCTTGAGTATTCTGATTACTCCCTTTTACAGGTTTGGCAATACTGCATATTTGCACATTTCAGTTGCCTTCATACAGATGCTCAAAGCACTAAGTATGTGAAAAACACACAACTTCCTTTTGACTCAAAACCTATATTAGTATATGAATCTTTGACCGTGTTTTGCGAAGCTTTCTAACACGTGAATATGGAATGACAGTGCCGGTAGCAACATTTATCATGGCCGTTGTTTGTGGCACTGACAAAGCAAGGTGTGACATGTTCATGAACATGCTGCTGGTCAGTGTTGGCGTTGTGGTATCCTCCTATGGTGAAATTAATTTCAATATAATTGGCACGGTCTACCAGGTCATGGGCATCTTTGCTGAAGCACTTAGACTGGTGCTAACTCAAGTTCTTCTTCAGAAAAAGGGCTTGACATTAAACCCTGTCACCAGCTTATACTATATAGCTCCGTGCAGGTAACACAGTTCAAAGTTTTCTTATTCAGCTAAGATAGAAACTCGTATCCAGTTCTAAATACTTTGTTTGACTTGATTTGACATTTCGGTCGTTGTTTGTCCTATAGTGTATTAGGTTGCATGTTTGTCAACATCATGTATTATTTGTGAAATTATTTCTTGCTAAGATGCAAAGAATCTCCTCTACATCACATTAAACATGCAGTCTTTTTCGTTGGTTTTTTTGGTGCAGCTTTGTTTTCCTGTCATTACCGTGGTATGTACTGGAGAAACCGAATATAGAAGTCTCGCAGATCCAATTCAACTTCTGGATCTTTTTCTCAAACGCTCTCTGCGCACTTGCCTTAAACTTCTCCATATTCTTAGTAATCGGAAGAACAGGAGCAGTAACCATCCGGGTTGCTGGCGTTCTCAAAGACTGGATTCTAATAGCACTCTCCACTGTCATATTTCCAGAGTCCACAATCACTGGTCTCAATATTATTGGATACGCAATAGGTTCGGTTCTTGATTTCATTACTGCTTTAGATAAGCTCTTAAAAAAATACCCATGTGCATTGTTTAATCACAACATCTTTTAAATGCAGCACTATGTGGGGTTGTAATGTACAATTACATAAAAATCAAGGACGTGAAAGCGACTCAACCAATTACTGACAGCCTCCCAGATCGAATCACAAAGGTACAATCAATCAATCTTTGTTAAAATAAATCATTTACTCTCTCCTTATCCTTGATTGTGTGTATATTTTCTTATGATTTGATATAAATAATTGAACAGGAGTGGAAGGAGAAGAGGTCGTCTGATGGGGAGAGTCCCAGAGGAGTAGAGCTTAACGATGAGGAAGCTCCTTTAATAACGTCGCGTTTGTCACATATTGGACGGACTCAGCTCGGAACGCACACAGCCGTTGTCTGAGCAACGTACAGATTAGAGAATATGAGACCCGTATGTTGTTTCAGTTCTCAGGTGAAAATGTCTTTTTTTTTTCTCTTTTGGAGCCCCAAACTCTTAAAAATAGAATTTACCTCCGGATTACTTAACAATGTTTTAGTTCTTAAGAAAAGAAAGAAAAAAAAAAACGCAATTGGCAAAATTATTTGTAGGGTCTCTGAAAGATATAAATGTTTTCACCAAACGCATTAAGCTCCAGACCCCGCTTGGTTTTTATGATACAGAAACAGTTCTGACTTGTGTGGCAGTAGCCCTGGATTTGCTTTGATTTGATTGATTTTGCCTTTGATATCATCAGTATTCAAGAGAATGGTCTCACTCTGGACTAATTGACATTGGTATAAAACTTATACAAAGCAGTTATAGTGTAAAAAGAATGATGATATTTTACAAAATTACTAAATCAAAACTCGGATGATTCAAATGACAATGAACAACACTGTGATGTGCAACAAATCCTCTGGATTCAGCCAAAAAGCTATTCTCTTATGTACTCTCTGGACTCCTCAAGTACAATAGCCTTCTCGATTGCGCTGGAGGAGCTAATCCAGGGATGTCTCTAATGTCTTTGTTGTTTGGGTTCACAATCTTCAGTTTTTTTTTGTGCTAAGTAGAGTTAGACTTTGCTTAAGGAACCCAAACATACGAATAAATAAATAGGAGAGTGCAAATGGTGATTTACCTTCACAACGATAATGGCTATAACACCACAGACAATCAGAAACAGGAACATCATTATGCATTTATCGGTAGCTACCTGAGACACACAAAAAACAAGAATCAGACACATTTCTAGCTTTAGCAGTGTGTGAGAATAGAGATGATACAAAACCTGTCTCCCTATCTCTTTCACCAACTGTGAGGCTTTCTTGATAGAGAACTGAATCGTGTCTAGATCGTTCACAACGCGGCCCATTTGATCCGTCTGTAAAAATTCCCAAGTCAGCGTATTATGGATTGTAGAGCCTCATGAAAATATCATGATGAGAATGGTGTTTTACCTGCCCCTTTAAATTAGCTGCGGTTTGAGTACCAATTTCCACTGTTTGATGCACAACCTGAAAAAGAGAAAACGCTCAAGTTTTACTAGAGACATTACATCAAAGACTTAAGTGGAATACACTTCTTACTGTAATTTACCTGTTTAGAGCGTTCAATAGCCTGGTCCGTCTCATCCATCCTTTTCATTCCAGCATCAACAAGCTCTTGGTTTGACATTGCTAAATATATACGATAAAATTAGAGTCATAACCAAAAGTTCCACATTTTTCCTATAGGGTAGTTCTCTAAGGATAACTTCAGTATTGGAACACACTTCAATCTGGACGATAAAACTTACTGACACAGCCAACATAAAACCCGATTATAATGTGAGAAAGGTAACCGTTACAGTCCTATATTACCTTCCACTAGAAATTTACTGAGACGCATGAACTGATGATTAGCCCATAGTGCACAATTAAACTATCCTACATATTTAAGTATATGCAGCACCAAACAGTTTAAGCATCCCAAATGTCAATTTTCTTTAGCAAATTCATATTCTGGTTGCAGAAGAAATTCAAGAGAATACACAACCCATATAGACGGACTCACACGAAGCCATTTGGACGTTTTCTTCAGCTGTGGGTTCACCGCTGACTCCAGCTCCCGCGTCAAAAAGTTCAACTTTCTTGTTGCCGAGTGTATTCAAGTACCTGAAGTCACCCAACGAATAAACATGTATTGACACATTCCAGTCTATCTTACATACATTTACTAAAAGGATAGGTGTGATAAAATCACGTATAGGAACAGCCAATTGCATTTTCTTGGAAGTGACATGATAGGTACTTACGTTTTTCTTAGAGCAACATAAGAGTTGAGTTCCTTAATCTGCCACATAAATCGTTTGAAATATCAACGAGGAGATTTTGAAAAAGGCATAGAAACCAAATACAGGCAAGAAACTAAAGGAGAGAGAGAGAGAGATCGAGAGGTTCACAGTAATTGCTCACAGAATCTATTACACTAAACTATTCCAATGACTACTTCAGAAGTTTTACACTAACTAGAATCTCAAAAGTATTAGAACCTCCATAAATTTCATTAAACACACAGATTCAATACGATAAGAAAGTAAACTCACCATAGATTGTTTCTCATCATTCAATTGCTTATTTACTTCAGGAGAATTTCGAGCTTCACCATCTTTGAGTTCACGATCGAACTCCTTAACCAACCTAACGTAGTAAACCACATTATTGCATTACAAGGTCACAGATTCTTCAACTGTGGAGATTAAAAGCCATTATTCAAAACTCTCTATTTAAAAAACACCTTTTACATTCCCTCATCTTCTCTGCAAGTTCTTCCAATTGCTTGCTTTGTCTATTTGAATCCTTGATCTTATCCAACCTCTGGAACCCATTCCTGCAAAACAGATGTTGAATTTCTCGCTCATATCGAATCTTAATCCGCCTCTATATTCTACTTGGAGGAGCAGCGAAATCGAATTCTAGATTCCTAAGCAAATTCTACAGTTTTTGTGACCACATTGGAAAATGCACAGTCTAATGAGAAAAATTTGGAGAAAGCATACGCGAGGACTCGGAAAAGGTCACGGATTTCTCCATGGATCTGCTCCAAATGAGGGCTCATCGGAATTTCGGACGCCATATCTGCCGGAGAAATTCAGATTCCGGCGAAGACAGAAAAAAAGCGCCGGAATTTTCCCCTAACAATTCGGCGAGAACCCTAAGAGCAAACCCAGGAATCCTTCCCGCTCGAAAAAAAAATGCTTCACAGCATCAAATTCATCTAAGAAGAAAAAGGAGAATAGAGAAACCCTAATTTAAAGAACACGAAAAAAGGAAAAAGATCGGAGAACGAAAACGCGGCAGAGCTCTTCGAACGGAAAAGAAAAAGAGAATTGAGTCAGTGAGGGCTATATTGTCATTGTGATTATTTGAAAAAAAAACATAAATAATTTAATTTTGTTAATAAAAAATTAAATTTAAAACAAGATTTGACAGCGAAGCTCCACCACGTTTTCGATATAGCCGTTTGATGAAAAAAATTTGAAAGTGTCGTCCACATTGTGTTACATTCATACCACCCTGTCCCTAAAAGGACCTACTCTCACCTACACAATCTCTTAACCAATTATTAGTGTGTATATAGTCAATATACCTGTACATATTAGTTTCGGTTTAAGGGCTCTGAAATGTCCGGTTTATAATATAAATTATCGGTTAGCTTTGGTTAAGTTTTGTAGCTTGTATATAAGTATTATAGCAACCATTTTGGTAAATCAATGAGAATCGGTTCCTTAACAAACTTCTTCTCTCTGGAATCGCTTTGCTAATATGGTATCAGAGCTCTTTCTGCTCGATCTTCTCTGATTTCATCTTCGATTCTCCATTTTCTCTTCGTTTTCACCGATTATTTTGAGATCTAAACTCGAATCCGTGCTTGAATTGAACTCTAGAAGCTCCGATTCTCTTCGCGACTTTCAAATTGGTGTTCATCAACACATTTTCTTTTTTGATCCGCGATAATGGCGAAATAAGGGAAGAAATCTCTTGGTCAAACTTCTCCGACATCTGCAATCTCTCCAGTGAAGACTCGAGCTAGTTTTCGAGCTGATTTACTTCCTCAGGAAAATTCCAAAGATGCAACTATCTCTCATCTCCCAATCCCAGTTACATGGGCTAGATCTGGACCGACGAGATCTGCAATGGACTCATTCGACAATGTTCATAGTCCGTTCTTTCTTCACTCGGCCGATCATCCAGGTTTATCCATCGTTTCTCACATTCTTGATGGAACAAACTACAACACTTTGGTCGATTGCGGTGAAGATGAGCTTAGATGCGAAGAATAAGTTGAGCTTTGTAAATGGAAGCTTACCTAGACCTAATGAGGATGATGAATCTTTTAAGATCTGGAGTAGATGCAACAGTATGGTTAAGGCTTGGCTATTGAATGTGGTTAACAAAGAAATCTATGATAGTATTCTGTACTATGAAGATGCAACCGAAATGTGAAATGATCTATTCTCAAGGTTTCGTGTTAGTAATCTTTCGTGGAAATATCAACTCGAACAATCCATCATGACGCTTAAGCAAGGCAACCTAGAACTCTCTGCTTATTACACCAAGAAGAAGACTCTTTGGGAACAATTGGCAAACACAAGACTATCCACTGTCAAGAGATGTAATTGCGATCATGTTCAAGAGCTATTGGAAGAGGCAGAGACCAGTCGAATCATACAATTCCTTATGGGAATGAACGACAAGTTTGCCAACATAAGAGGTCAGATACTAAACATGAAACCGAGACCAGGATTAACAGCTATCTATAATATGCTTGATCAAGATGAAAGTCAGAGAACTGTAGGAGGCATTTCTCCACCTCCATTCTCTAATCCTACTGCCTTTCAAGTTCAAGCATCTTCGGCTGATGATCAGACTCATGCGCTCTTGGTTCAGAACAGTTACCAGAAACCTAAATGTTCAACTGTCACAAGACTGGTCATGTTCAGGATAAATGCTACAATCTCCATGGTTATCCTCCAGGATCTACTCCAAAATGGAAGAAACCTCAAACGGTTGCTGCAACCAACCTCACCACTGCACCTTCGATTCAATCTAATTCTGAACTGAGTGCTGAAAAGGGGACTTCCACATATGGAGACATGTCAACAGATCAAATTCAGACGATGATTTCGTTTCTCAGTTCCAAGCTTCATACTTCATCTGCAGAAGGTATATCGGATAAGGCTTGTTCTTCGACTTCAAACTCTGCACCTGTTATCTCACAGATTTCAGGTACATTTCTCAGTCTATACTCCAATGCTTATTATGACATGCTTGTTTCTTCCATATCTACAGAACCAGCAGTGTCTCTTAGTGCTTGGGTTATAGATTCAGGGGCTACTCACCATGTCACTCACCATAAGAATCACTATATAGCCTATAGACCTCTGGAAAACACCTTTGTCACTTTACCAAATAGTTATACTGTTAGGATAGAGGGCATATGACTCATTCAATTGTCTGATGCTATTATATTGCATGATGCCTTATACATTCCTGAATTCAAGTTTAATCTGATCAGTGTCAGTGTGTTAACTACACGTTTAAAGTCTAAAGTTAGCTTCACATCTGATGCATGTTTAATTCAGGAACTTATTCGGGAGTTGATGATTGATCAAGGTAGTCAAGTTGGGAATTTATATGTTTTGGATGTTGATGAATCAAGTTATTATGTTTCTTTAAAAGGTACTACTCACACTTGTTCTGTTGCGCCTGTTTGTTCTAGTTTCAAAGTTAATAGTGATACATGGCATAAGAGATTAGGCTATCCTTCTCAATCTAAACTGGCTGTATTGTCTGATGTATTGAGTTTAAGGAATATTAATAAAGATCATTCTCACGTTTGCCACATTTTTCACTTGTCCAAACAAAAGCTTTACCATTTGCATCTCGTCAAAACATGCGTACTGAACCGTTTGCTCTAGTACATATTGATACTTGGGGTCCATTTTCGGTTCCCACTGTTGATGGTTATCGATATTTTTTAACCGTAGTAGATGATTTTAGTAGAGCAACATGGATTTATTTGATGCGAAACAAGTCTGATGTTTTACAAGTCTTCCCTGGTTTCATATCAATGGTTGAAACTCAATCTAAAACTAAATTTCAATCTGTTCGTTCTGATAATGCTCATGAATTGAAATTTGTGAACTTGTTTTCTGAAAAAGGCATAGTTGCATATCACTCTTGTCCTGAAACACCTGAGCAAAACTCAGTTGTAGAAAGGAAACATCAGCACATATTTAATGTAGCTAGAGCCCTGTTATTCCAAACAAATGTTCCTCTTGAATTTTGGGGTGATTGTGTGTTGACCGCAGTGTTTTTAATAAATAGGTTACCCACTCCAGTTTTAGGGAACAAGTCTCCATATGAGAAACTAGTTGGTAAATCTCTGGATTATCAGGATTTAAAGAGTTTTGGTTGCTTGTGTTACAGCTCTACATCTCCTAAGAATAGACATAAGTTTTAACCTAGAGCTAAGGCTTGTGTTTTTCTAGGATATCCGGCGGGTTATAAAGGGTACAAGCTTTTAGATATAGAGACACATGCTGTTTCTGTCTCGAGACATGTCCTTTTTCATGAGGATATTTTCCCTTTTGTATCTTCTAAAATCACTGATGGTACAAAAGATTTCTTTCCTCATTTTCATTCTCCTGCTCCCACAGATGATCATTTGCCTCTAGTGCATTCATCTTCCGATGCACATCAGTCCCTTGATGTGTCATCTTCTGAGGTTATTACTCATTCTGAGTCTAACTCTCGCAGACAAAAGAAACCTCTCAAACACTTGCAGGACTTTCATTGTTATACTATTACTAGTACTCTTAAATATCATATATCAAACTATATTTCTTATTCATATATCTCTGAACCTTTTCGTGCTTTCATAAACACCATCACCAACCAAATTGTACCACAAAGATATTCAGAAGCCAAGAAATATCAGGTATACTGTGACGCAATGAAGGAGGAGATTGGTGCAATGAAACGAACTCACACCTGGACTCAGGGCCGGCCCAATAGGTTTTGGCGCCTAAAGCCCAAAGATTTTTTTTAAGCCCTTTATTAATAAAAATTTACAAAGTAACAGCGCTTAGATTTGAACCATGTTCCTATACCTCATATTCTCACCTGCTAGCCACTGCACTACACTCAACTTTCAGAAGTTTGCTGCCCTTAATTTTAGATATATTTTTTTGCGCCTAAAGCAAGGGTTTTACTAGCCTTACCCAGGGCCGGCCCTGCCTGGACTGTATGTGCTTTACCACCTGGAAAGATTCCCATTGGTTGCAAATGGGTTTTTACGGTTAAGCATCACGCAGATGGGAGTATAGAGAGATATAAGGCAAGACTTGTTGCCAAGGGATATACACAGCAAGAAGGGTTGGATTATGAAGAAACTTTCTCCCCTGTTGCCAAGTTAGCAACTGTTCGAATGTTGTTCCTTCTTGCAGCTAAGATGAATTGGTCTGTGAATCAGCTTGACATATCAAATGCATTCTTAAATGGTGACCTTGATGAAGAAATTTATATGAAGGTACCACCAGGATATGCAGATTTACAAGATGATCCAATGCCTTCAAATGCAGTTTGCAGACTTCATAAATCGATTTATGGTCTGAAACAAGCTTCTCGCCAATGGTTCTTGAAGCTGTCTTCTGCGCTTTGTGGGATGGGTTTTGAAAAGTCAGTTGGAGATCACACATTATTCATCAGGTGTAAGAACAATGTGTTTTTAGCTGTGTTGGTATACGTTGATGACATTTTGATTGTCAGCAACAATGATGAGTTAGTTCGGGTATTCAAAGATGAACTTGCTGCTCATTTCAAGCTTCGTGATTTGGGGACAGCAAAGTACTTTCTGGGAATTGAGATTGCAAGCTCTTCTCGAGGTATCTTTCTCTGTCAACGAAAATATACATTGGAGCTATTGAATACTACTGGATTTCTTGGATGCAAACCATCAAGTATTCCTTTGGATCCAAGTGTCAAATTGTCTAAGGACAAAGGCATTCCTGTTGAAGATCCATTGCAATACAGAAAGCTGTTGGGAAAGCTCAAGTATTTGCAAATCACAAGGCCAGACATTTCTTATGCGGTGAATACTCTATGTCAATTCTCTCATGATCCAAGAGATATTCATCTTACTGCAGTGCATAAAGTATTAAGATACTTGAAGGGCACCGTCGGTCAAGGTTTATTCTATCCTGCAGACAACAACTTTGATCTCAGAGGCTTTGCAGATTATGACTGGGCTGCTTGTGTAGATACTCGAAGATCTGTCTCAGGGTATTGTATGTTCATTGGTGATTCTTTGGTTTCATGGAAATCGAAGAAGCAAAATACCATTTCTTGTAGCACAGCAGAAGCCGAGTTCAGAGCAATGGCACTTGCTACGAAAGAGATGATATGGTTATCTCGGATCCTCACAGATTTGAAAGTTCCATTTCAACCACCTGCTTATCTCTACTGTGATAATACTTCCGCTCTTCATATTGCCAATAACTCAGTTTATCACGAGCGAACCAAGCATGTGGAATTGGATTGTTACAAGATAAGAGAAGCGATTGATGCTGGTTTTCTCAAAACTATGTATGTGAAAACAGGTAATCAACTCGCCAATGCTTTAACTAAAGCCTTGCATCCTGGTCCTTTCCGAGAACTTACAGCCAAGATGGGAGTTAGCAACATTTTTGCACCTCCATCTTGAGGGAGGCTATTAGTGTGTATATAGTTAATATACTTGTACATATTAGTTTCGGTTTAAGGGCTCTGGAATGTTCGGTTTATGATGTAAATTATCGGTTAGCTTTGGTTAAGTTTTGTAGCTTGTATATAAGCATTGTAACAACCATTTTGGTAAATCAATGAGAATCGGTTCCTTAACAAACTTCTTCTCTCTGGAATCGCTTTGCTAATACCAATTAAATTCAATTGCGAATCATTCCACTCATTATTGATTTTTATTACAGTTAAGTTCGATCACTTATAGACAAGTAAAAGTCCCTAATTTGCAAACACTCTTTTGAAGGAACTAACGTCACATAGTAATCAAAACCAATATTTACTCGTAAATGAACAAAACCAAACACCCTTTTGAAGTAATGAATGGCTTTGATCTAATTCAGGTATATATAGCAAGAGCCAAAGAGAATCATCACACATTCACACTCATAATAGGACATATAAAGTGTCAAGTTTGTGAGATTGAAATTAAAACGTAGTTCTGATAACATATTAGTAAGTATAAGTTTTACTCACATCCAAAAATTAGCTTAAGAATTTAGGATTGCCACAAACTTCTTTTGTATTATTATTTACAAATTCCTCAAAGTCGGAGAAACACGTTTCTAACATAATATATGCTTAATTTATCTATTACTTGCTTATGTACAGATTTAGAGACAATCTACTGCTTTTACAAAAGAATATGATTTTTTTTTTTTGGGGGGGGGGGGGGTGGCTAATGTACCAAATTTATACAAAGAAATCTTTTTTAAAAAATTATTTACATAAACCCTTGACGCATCCGGGTTCGAGTTTCGATTATAATAGACATTTTGTTCTGCTGGCTGGCTACGTTAATAGCTGCGATGATGTGCCCAATTCGTTTAATAATCTTTCATACAACTGCACCAACCCAAAAAACAATAAGCCACTACTTTGGATTAAGACTGAAGAAAGATACACAGTCACACACAGAGACCAGTTACTAAAAAATACATTACCTCTTTATATAGAAACGAATCGCCATGTGATTTTCTTAGTTCAACCACATTCAGCGACGGAATTACCTCGAAAACCTCAGCTGTTACCGATAAACCGCCTCTCCCTGTTCGAATGCTTTCTTCTTTGATTGCTTTTAACTGAAGCAACATCAGTTCTCAGATTTACAAACCACTAAAAACTACTTGCCAACATCTCAAGTAGCAGACAAGAGTAATTAAGAAGAAGTGAGCACAAAAGATATCTAACCATTGTGTATTTCTTGTGTACGCAGAAACCCATTTCTATTAGGATTGTTTTGATTTTCTCCAGCACCTCTATAGCTAACCTATTTGACGTGAATCTTATCTGCCTCTCTGACACTTTCTGAACCAGTGCACAAAAACATTTGATTGTGAGCAAAGACCAATCTTGATCTGAGTTTAAACGAGGACAAGAATGTACCTTTACCTCTATCTCAAATAAACCAGAGAGGTCGAGAAACGATGACATTCCTATCAACTGAAACGCGTTGATGATGGTGGGAGAATCAGGGCTCTTCTCATCCTCAGATCCCTTCATTATAAAAACCACAAAAAAAAAAATACATTACTTTGAGCAAGGCAATGCACATAAGAACCAACATGATGAGAGACAACATATATTCTTACATATTCTTGAATTAAGGATGCATCATCATCATCATCATCATCGCAATGTGACGGAATGTAGCCGTGTTTGAACCAGTCATTGGCCTTTATACCAGCGATTGTCATCCTCGTGACCGGATTTGGATCGAGCATTCTCTTGATCATGGTTTTAGCACCTGGTGATATCCATCTAGGTATTGGAGGGTCCCCTTTGACTATCTGAAAGAATATGATAATCTTTTGAGTTTATTTCTTCAAGCATCTAATATTCCTAAGAAAATATGAAAACAGGGACTTCTCTAGTAAACAGTCCAATTCATTTATGGCAATATATGATCCAAAATGCTAAGAACTGACCGTTATTTAATAAGTAAACTACATTTGAAAACAGAGGAAACAAAAGAAGTACCTTCCGGCAAAGAACGGCGAGGTTTGTATCATCAAAAGGGAGACATCCAGTAAGAATAACATACAAGATTACTCCACACGACCATATATCTGATGCTGCACCATCATAGCCCTTATTAGCTAGAACCTCAGGCGCGACATAGTTAGGACTACCACAGGTTGTATGTAGCAGCCCATCTTCCTAACATGTCAAAACCCAAAAACAAAATGTTGGACACATGGGTTTCTTTTCTGCTGATGAATATAGATTTAGGAATTTTGGCAATTACCCTTAAATGCTGAGGCAGAGCACTAAGTCCAAAATCAGTGATCTTAATGTGCCCCTTCGCATCAAGAAGAACATTCTCTAGCTGCAGCAAGTGTGTATCATCTCCCATAAGGATATTTTTTTAAAGTTTAAAGCTTTTGGTGTTTCAAGAAAACTTGTAGACACATACCTTGAGATCTCTGTGGAAAACGCCCTTGTTATGACAGTAGCTTATTCCATCAATCAACTGCTGAAATAATTTTCTTCCTTCTGTTTCCGAAAGCTTTCCTTTGGAGACCTGAGACATGACACATGAGAGCATATTTTGAGACTAGAAATATTACAAAACTGTTGGCTAACTAAACCAACTGTTAGTGGAGCAAACAGAAATCTTACAATTCTGTCAAATAAGTCTCCTCCAGTGACACATTCCAGGACCATGTAAATCTTGGTTTTGCTAGCCAAGACCTGTAAGTGGATGATTAAGAATTGGCATATCAAAGAGATTGTAATCTATTTAATTAGGATTTAAAAAACAACTTGGAAACCCTAATTAGGATGAACAAAAGTTATCACAATTATTAGGAAAGAAACGTGGACTAAGTCTCTGTAAATTCAACATTCAAAAACCAACTATTTGGTTACGTAAGAGAAAAGTAATCTTCAATTTAGACGAACGATAATTGGTTTTGAAAAATGTTAGAAGTCGGCAATAATCGTACCTGCAAAAACCCATTATACTTACAAAGTATTTGATAAAGTGGGGTTCGTGTAATAATAGTCTTGAAAACGAGTTTTACTGGGTTTACGTAGCTCCCAAGGATTAATTAGTTCTAATGAGGTCTACATGACAAGACTAGACCCTTTTTTTTTGTTTTTTCTTAAGACTGATATTTAATCTAAATATGAGGCAATTTTGATGATTATTATCATTATCCAAAATCATTATCATTATTCAAAATCTAATGGTCAATTTTTGGGACCGACCTCATAATTGAATTGGTCAGGGAGGGTCATCAAATCTATCGCCAGCCAAGTGATTATAAAAAACTCACGAGGAAAAAATATTTTAAAAGTTGAAGAAATTAGTTTATACGTTACGCGTGGCTGGCTATTTAGCAACGTGAAAAGGGAGATTACGTGTTTACGATTTAAAAATTAGGAAACCAAAAAGGATCAACTAATCATAATGACTTTTAAGGTACTCCTCCGCAAGCAAACAAAAAAGTTTCAGATGATTACCGTGATTTAATGCATAATCTATCGTCGGACAAAATATTCTAATTGTTTTGACAAATTATACAGCAAATCTGATACCGAAATCATAGAATTGGATTTCCTTAAACTAAGTTATCAAATAATTAATTCCATGATTAACATAGATTTTCAATAATCCAAGCTTTTCCATTAAATTAAACAAAACAGTTAATTACCTCATGTATTCTGACAATATTTGGATGCTTTAACACTTTCAATGTTCGGATCTCTCTCTTAATCTGTCAAAAATGGGTAAGAGTTCGAAAATTCACCGTTAATCAATTCTTTCAATGAAGAAAACAAATCAAACTGAGAAATTGGATATGTGCAAACAACACTACTACGAACAAGAGCTAGTGCGGAGTGTTTATAGCTATCTTCTGATATCATATATGATATATATATATATATATATGTAAATTCGGTATCATCGCATTAAATTTTTAAAAACCGTTTTAGGTATCTCTTCTACTTCTTGTTGAGGAAAAAGTAGTAGATAGAAGATTGGAAAACCTGAAAGGAGACGTTGAGACGAGTGATACGCGACTTGTCGATGATTTTGACGGCGAAAGATTGGCCGGAAAAAATATCTCTAGCGAATTTGACTTTTGCAGAGTTTCCCTCTCCAAGCGTCTTCCCAAGCTCGTATTTCCCAACACGCATTCCCTTCGTCACCATCCAAAACAAACGAAGAAACTTTCTAAATCGATCCGATTCTATCAAAACCAATCGATCTGTTGCCCCCCAATTTCTCTGATCCGATTAGGAGTTGAGCAAATGAGACTAATAATAAGCTATGAGTCTATGGCTATGTATAAGACTGAGATTGAGGAGAAGAAGAGAAGAAGTGGCGGCTAAAATTTGGAGAGAAGAACACGCCACTCCCCTTTGCTTCCTCGTCCTCCCTTTCTTCTCTGTAATTTCAATTGAATTTTTTTTTGGTTTTCTCGGGAAATGAAATATCCTTAATAATTAACCAAAAAGGAAACTTCTATGATTATCTTTTTTATAAACAGAATAAATACTATTTACTGTGTGTTTTTTTTTAATAAAAAAATCTACTTATCTACTCCTGCGACCAAAAAAAAAATCCACTCCATGACTTATCTATTTCTTTCCAGAAAACATAATTTAAAACTTGTTTGATCAGCCGACGATGAACAAAAAAAGTCTTATCATGGTTATCGAAAACATTCTTTTTTTCTCATCATGATTGACTTTTGATTTTTAGATTAAATTCAAATATAATATTTTATTTACTTCTAATTTTTTGAAGAAAAAATTCTTTATTTAAGTTGTAATATGTGTTTATAATGTTTTGGTAGTTTTAATATATTTTTTTATATACTATTATTCTAACCTCTCGAAATTATGAAAGCGGTTTGGAATTCGATTCTTAGAAGATGCGATTTCTGCAAGTTATTATGGAGGCAAGCTTATAAAAAAATTTTTAGCATGGTGCAAAGAAAGTCATTCGTGGTGGTTTCGAGTTGCGTGAATTATTTGGAATTCTCATAATATGTAGTTTTCATAGTCTGTAATAGACGATTAAAAAAACCTCTGGATATCAGAATAATATCGTATTTATTCTCCACATCAGATCATTTTATCCAACTACAGGTTGCGAACAAGGATATGCTCCCGAAACCATTATCCTATGAATCTTAATTAAGCCGGCTAGGCGACTACCACTCTCAAGATTTCATATTAAGAAAACTTAGTGGTGAGATTAATTGCTTTTAGAAAATATTAAATTTGGAAAGAGTAATTGAACACTATATAATTCTCTATCTTAAAATAAAGTTGGAAATTCTCTCCTCTTGTTATGAAGCTTGGCCCACATAGTCTATTTGTGTACTTGCATGTGATCGGTCACAACAAGGGCAGTGTTTTCATAATCATAAATTTCTGGAACATTTCGAAAAGAAAAGCAAATACAAAATTTTCTATTGAAAAAATAAAAGGCGACAAAGTCATACCGAAGGGTATAAATAAAAAAAAAATATGAAACCTAAAAACATCGGTGTAGCTGCTAGTTGTATTCAAATCATTTGTTTTCTTAATGCGACTTTGTTGCAAGTGAGGATCAAAAGTTCAATGGCTTTTAATTCTTTTGATATTAAGCTTGCTAAAATTTGTAACCAAGAACATTTTGTAAACTATTCTAACAAACATTCTGAAACTTCTAAACCATATAAAACTGATATGTAGAGACATCAATTCGCCTGTAAACAATCTATCTAGCAAAACAATATTTTACTAACCTGAATATGAGTTCCTAAACCACTTAATCACTTATATAAGTCAAAGCAACTCTTAGTCTCATACCATGCACTTATATAGCGTGATATAAATATTTCTCATAAGCGAATGAAACATATAGTCATAAACTTGAAGCAACATTTCATGATTAGTTGTGACAATATTGTATTCAGATTTCAATAGTTGTACTAAAATTGCACTTGTAGTTGTTTTTTGGGTCAAATTCCAGATTATCACACCTGAAACCATATATAATTTAATAATATTTTTTGTGGGAGTTATACTTTTTCAGGTATAATTGGATATTTAAGCAAACTTTATTGGGTATCTATCGATCTACACTGCCAATATCAAAAACTACTTAAAAATTACTTAGAAAATCTAGTTTGGTGTTGTTACCGATTTCACTATAGTAAACTATATTTTCAAGGTGTTCAAACACAATGCGATTAATTGTTGTTTTTAAATATGGTCAAGTTATATTGAACATTTACCAAGCTTGGTTTAGTTCTTTTCAGTTTAATCTTGACGGTGGTTTTCAACAACAAAAAAAAAATCTAATTCTCATAGTTAACTGTGAATATAAAATTAACACGTGAGAAAATTATATGATAGGAAAAAATATATACTAGTTTCAATTTTTTTATAAAATAATAATTTTTAGATTGTTGGCAAGTGTCATCTGATTCTTGTATTTAGGTTAGGTTTAGAAAGTTCTCCTTGGTGTATAAAAAACAATATAACCGTAATCATTATTAATAATAAAGTTCATAATCTCTCACCTTATCACTTTCTTCTCAAACAATCACATGGATCCTGGTAACAATAGAGATCAGGTCACCGATGGAGTCCACGTCCACGTTCGACCAGTCACGTCTTACACGATGATTGCAAATCTGATTATCACACTGATTCTTACGACGCTCATGGAAGATTTCCAGTCGCTCTTCTTCTGAAGGGGCGATGGCGCCGTCATCTGACAACAAGATGCTGGAATATGTTGAAACTTTCAACACCAGCTTCTGTGTTGCCGGAATAATATATGTCGCCAGCTGCCAACTGGTATTAAACCCGTATCTTTCTAAACCACCTCTCCGTTATTGTTGGGTCAGTGGCTGTCATGTAAATACTGTAAAACTTCAACTAGAAATGTAAACATTATATATATATATATATATATTTCAAAATAAATTGCTTAATTTCTTCTTCTTTTTTATATATTGACTTTTTGTCATCAATGATTTTTTTTCCATGTATGTAGAGATTCTAGAGAATCAATGTGGTTTGTAAAATGTATCATTGAAAATATGGAGTTAAGAAAAAGTAATGAAACATTTTATATTAACATAATTATATATATATATATATATCATTTTAAAAGAAGGAATTTATAATTATTAAAAATTAATCAAGTATATAAGTTAACGAAAAATTTCTATGTTTAATCTAACATACTAAAGAAAAAACAATTATAAGTTTTAATTTCAAGAACAAATGTCTTAGCTATTGAATAAAGTACAGACCATATAATCATATATTTAGACTTGAAATATTGACAAAAAAAAGACTTGAAATAACCAAATAGCCATTTTTGCGAATTTTTTTTATAAGTATATAAATTACAATAACGTCTTTTGTTCGAATTCTTAATCTTTATTAGTTATGGGCCTAAAAACAATGCTTTTGTAGATTGTTGACCCAAAAAATAAGAATCACTAGTATTTGACGCTTCTTTTTTTTTTGCTGTGATATGTAATTTTAACGTGCACTTTTTTAAATGAAGCAAAATATTCATTTCGTAACTGACGCTGTTGTTTTATATGGTAAATGACGTCATCTAGTTGATTTTGTAACTGAAACACTAGATTTTAATCAGTCTTTTTTTAATCAAAATTTGTAATGTAATTCATATCCTTTTTATAGATATAATTTTTCTAATAAGTGACAAAAATTTATTTTGTGTTTAGTTATAATTTTGTTTTAAAATTTTTTATTTCTAGTATTATTATGACTATGATCATTAAACCATAAGTCTAATCCGATCATTTTAATAATAAAAAAATAATCGTTATTATAAATATATTTTTAATTCACTTATTCTATTAATGAGAAAAAGACTATGGTTATAAAACCATAATTCTAACTCGCCCGTTCATATAACTATATAATATAAATATTTAATAATTTTGAAATAATTTTTATTTTTAATATATTGCAACATAACCTAATCCACATAAGATTACAATTGTAAAAAAAAAAAATCTAATCCTCTCATCAAATCACCATATATTATTAATATTTATCAATTTTCAATATGTAAAATTTTAATCTGATTGAATATAATTAAAAAAAATATAATATGACACTACAAAAAAATCATAATGCATCATTTATTTTATTTATTTGTATTATTTATAATTGATGCAAAGAATTTTAAATCATTTGAGAAAATGATTCTGAAAAGTGGTGATGCAAATATTATACATCAGTTCATAATGAACTGATATAAATATTTTAAATATTTGCATCAGTTGTTCTAATCTGTGTCAATTATTTTAAATGATATTAAATTTTACATCAGTTATTACAAATGGTGTTATTATTTTTTTATCAATGGTAAATACATTGATGCTAAAAATGCTAGTTTTGTATAAAAGTTTTTATTTTTAAATTTGTTATAAAGTCTGCTTTGTATCAATATTTTTAAAGTGATGTGATTTAAAATAAATTAGCATCAGTTTTGTGCAATCGATGTCATATAAACTAATAATAACATCAATTATATCAGCTGATATTAATAATATATAATTTGTATCACTTGTTAATAAATGGCTGTAATTAGTATCAATTACTTTTCTGATACAATTTATTTGATGCTATCTACATTTTTTTTATAGTGAGGTAATAGTTAATCATATATGTTATTTTAAAAATATTATTTAAAATTTAAAATTTAAATTAAATCTAACCTATATTTAAGGAAGTCTAAAGTAATTTAAATTAATATATTTTTCAGAATTAAATTCAATTATAAAAGTAGTTTGAATTTTAAATTAAATATAACAAAGAATCTTTCGTTATCTAAATTAATATCTAATTTTTGGAATTAAATTTATATATAACTGAAAATATGTTTTTAAATAATATTATAATAAATTATGAATTTTTAAATAATATTATAATAAATTATGATAATTTTAAAAAATTTTCCAAACACTTAAAAAAAACTTTAGAAATGTTTGGAAGCAAGTAATAAAAATAGTTATGTTTTAATATAATAGATTATTTTTATTTATTTATTTAATTAATAAAATAATTTATCAAAAATAAAGTATTAAAAATCCATAACTAAAAAAAACATGAAAAAATGTCAAAAATTATATGAAGAAACACTTACAAAGTTAGCCTGCGATCTTCCATATCTTGAAATCTTTTTTTATCATTGCTTCATTTATCACTTTATCAAAATGCTCATTTACAACAAAGCAAACCATACAATCGTTTAGAAATTGATCATCCAAATTGATCATCCATTCGGTTACTTAAGCTAGTCTTCATAATTTTTATAGTAGAAAAACACTTTTCAACAATAACAGTGGCAACAGGTAAAGTCAAAACTAATTTCAAAAGCCAATTAAAAAAGAATTATTTACACTAAAAGACACTTTTACAACTTCGTCTTACAAAAATGGCACTTTCAACTATTAGGGGACTTTTTCTGTACTACAAATACTATTCACACCAAAATAATCCGAAATTGTCCCTCGTGTTCACGAGAACGGTGGATGCAACTCGTGGATACCGAATTAAACCCAGATTTTAAAAACAGTAATTATTTTTCCCCTTCTGTTTTGTATTGTATTTTTCTGTATTGTGAAACATATAAAACAATTTTTTTTGTTAGATTGAAAATGTATATCCACGTCGAATATATGAATGAAAACCTATCCACGCAATCGTGTCCATGTTATATGTCCATCATGCATCATCCACATCATATTTTGTGAATGGATATCTAAGTAGATTTCTGTTGTTTTAATTTTTTTTATAAAGATTATTTGAAAATTTTCTTGTTTGATAAAGAAAGTATAGCATAATGGGTTTTAAAACAATGACAAAATAAAATTAGAATTTTAATTAAGTTAGCTTAGGACCAGATTTATGCATCTTTGTTCTTTTCTACCTAACCTTAATGCTGGGTTTCTGAGAATCACTTAAACCCAGATTCTAGACATTTCATTGCACCAAAATTGTTTGATGAAATGTCTGAACAAAGCTAGTTCAAGAGTCTAATGTTTAATTTACATGGGAGTGTTTTATTGAGCTTAGATAGTATATCATGATTGGTTTCTAATGCATATTTTTATTTGTTTCTCTAATGATGATTGGGTATGAAAGAATGTTTGAGATTATGTTTTGATGCTTGGGAAAGATTGAAACTTGTGTTGAATCATGAGCTGCTTAGATCATTAATCATCATTTTCATTAGCTACTTAGTTTGATCCTGAAAGCACCCTAGCCAACTATCATATCTAGAGCTCTATACTTCATCATATCATATTCATCATCATTTAATTGCTCTTGCTTTGTTTAGTTTGCATTGTTTAGTCTTGTTTTAGTTTACTTGTTTAGCTTTGTTACTTGTTTGAACACCAAAATCTGTCTACTTTGCTTGAATTAAGTAAAAGCTTCATGAACTAGTGTTTAAACTCACCTGATATGGATTGATACCTTCTTCCTACATGATAGAGGGATTGATAACCCACTAAGAGCCTTGGAAACTCTTACTTATCAAAACCCGAACTTTCTTTCCACGGAAAGACGATTAAACCGCATGCAGGTTTTACAATAAAATGGGCTGATAGACATTAGAAACATTCTTTTTATATAATAAGACTAGATAATTACCAGCATATATGCGCGTTTGTAATTTAATATTTTATAAACCATGAAAATAAAAACTAAAAATGGAATATTCAGAATATAAAATTAGATCACTCGTAAAAATATATAATACATAAATTTTTTGAAAGAAAACTACTGTTGACATATACAGAAAAATTATTGCTTTTAGATTCATATCACCTTTCAATTTGAAACCAAGATAATAGATAAATAGGAAATGAATTTAAAAATAAAAAACTAATGTGAATTAAATATATTTTTATCAGTTTTTATCTTGAAGAGGTAATGACCAAACTTTTTTCTAATAGCATATATGTAACTTTAATGGAAACTAATTTTCAAAGATTATACCTCACTTTTTTAAAGTTAGAGCGAATTATTTTTTCATCCTATTTAGTTTCATTCTCGTTATACCTGTTTTATTTAATGATTATATCATATTAAGTTTTTAAAAACTGTTTTTCAATAATTGTATCTATTTTTTTAATGATTATATTCAGTTTCATCATACATCATTCTCATTTTTTACAGTGAGAATTAAGTAAAAAAGCCAGTACAATTTACATTATAATTCACACAAAAATAATGGATGTCTAATTTTTTATCGTGATAATATTTTTAGTAACTTTACATTTCAAGGTTATAATCAGCTATTAAATTTTAAGTTTTTTTTTTATTGATCGATTTTACAATTTTCCAACTTTGACTTACATATATGTTATGTGAGTTAGCAACTTTGAAACATTAGTTTCTATAATAAAAAAATAACTTTCTTACTATAAAGTGAGGATGGTTATCTGTTGTTTAATTTTTTTTTTATTTTAATATGAAATATGAAATTTTCTCCTTTTTAAACAATTTTTACTTTTTTCAAATTTGTTGGTATCCATTGATAATTTAGTTTAATTTTCTTAATCTAAACAAAATATATTAAGATATATAAACGTAAAACGGGATGTTCTCGTAGTATACTATAAAAGTTAAAGGAAACCCTAAACGGATCGATACCTTGCGTTGTAGGATAAGATTGAGAACTTCCCATAACCATAAGCTTTGCTAAAAACTAGAAACATTCTCTCTCTCTCTCTCTCTCTCTCTCTCTCTCTCCCTCTCTCTCTCTCCCCCTCTCTCTCTCTCTCTCTCCCTCTCTCTCTCTCTCCCCCTCTCTCTCTCTCTCTCTCTCTCTCTCTCTCCCTCTCTCTCTCTCTCTCCCTCTCTCTCTCTCTCTCTCTCTCTCTCTCTCTCTCTCTCCATTGGCTGATTCGATATGACAGGAGACGGTTGGTAGTTTGGTTTCGATTTATCCGATATGGCATGAGGTCCGTTGTAGATTAATGAACTTACTGCGATTGATTTTTGTAGGTTATGACGTGCTCCTAACGACGGCGGTGTGGTGGGACATCAATACGACAATACCTGTCCAGTACCTGTGAAAGATGGTTCAAATTCAGTATCGCAGGATGAGCTAAATCCGTTGGAGTATGCTGTTGGGTTTGGGCTTTGTCGTTGGGTAAAAGAGCTAGTGGGCTTGCTTGTTTTGAGGCCCAGGTTACGACGGGAAGAAGCTGGTTGTTATAAGAGGAGAGAGAGAGGCGTAACAAAGGCTGTGTCTTCGTCTTCAATCTTTAAGGCTATCGCCATTGTTGATTCCTCTGTAACATACTCTTATACTGGAGAAGATAGTGAATTCCGGGATAAAAGATCCTGAAGAGAGATGTACCCAGAGTTATGGGGAACTCTATAAACCTGTGTGCTCTTTCTTTTATGTTCTAAGTTTTCTGCGAATTCACACGAGATAAAGAGAGATAGTGAGCTGAGAGAAATCGGATTGCTCGATCCTAAGATAGTAGATTCGCAATCGTATCGGCTACAGTACCATAGGGTTATGAGCCTGGTCGTGTCCGTCAGAGTATAGAATCGGCGTTGAGAAATTACATGGGTCCTCATCCAGTCATCATCTTTTGCTTTGGCAACCTAGAATACATCCCTCTTCAAGTCTTGAGAGACATCTCTTCCTCTGGAATATTCTTACTCATGCCCCTTTCAGTACTTGGTTAAACCACTCTTTCTACCATGAATTGATTTTTTTTTGTTTTTTTGTTTTTTTGTTTTTTTAACTCATTCGTCGTATTTTCAAGGTGGGGAGCAAGTCGCTAAGCTTGTGAGCGACTGGAGCTATCATAAACCGACTACAATATTGCTCATATCTGGTGAGGAAACTTGGTATAATGAATTTATGCGCGACTGCACAGAAGGAGCCAGAATTCTTCGTGCATTTCCAGATCCTCAGCCACCACTACGTACACCTGGTACCTCTACTTCTAAAGAGTGGGTCTGGGACTACTTGCTTAAAGGTGTGTTTTTCACACCTCTCACACGTTAACCATCAAATATGCTATAAACTGTTTCTGTACTAGTTAGTACTTTTTTTTGTTTCCCTTTCCACAGAGAAAGGGAGGGGGGCTCCTGTGGAGATAGAGAGCATGTTACTTTGGTATGCTCCTAAGTTTTTGTGCAGACTATGCTACAAAGCTACCATAAGCGTTGAACATTTCTTCAGTCATCTCAAGAGTAGAGAACACAAACAGAAGGTAAGCATCCTTCTTGCCTCCTAATCATTACATTTGAACTTTGACCCCATGCATGTTGGCTGTCAAGCAGTTGATGGGCTCTGTGATTCCTAGAGACGATAACGATAAACCTGTCAATATTTCCAAGCTTTGCGATTATCCCTATTACAACAACAATAATAAGAACATCCACTTACAAAGTGAAAAACATAAATTTCAAGCAAGTCTTAACTTGTTATCATTACATTTTTTTAAGTCATGGTAAGAAAACCTCTCCCTATCAAAATTATTGATACCAACTCATGTGCGTTAGGCCTTGAGGCAGATTGGGACAGACGAGGAAGAAATGCAGTGTATCCAGGAAAAAGCGCAAGCAGCGCATGCTAAGGATATTTCTTTGGCAGTCTGTGGCGTGGGGGCGGCGGTCACGGTAAGTGGAGGAATAAAGGTGAACTGAACTAGACTAAGACCATCTCCATTGCATATCTCTATTTTTCTCTTTAAAATAGAGAAACTCTAAAGTAGAGGTGCATTTGTTTCTAATGCTTATCTCTATTTTTTCCTTTAAAAATAAATATTCTAAATATATTCCTTTATTATTTATTCATAACAATTTTGATTTATAAAATTCATAATTTAACTGCACTTATTTTACATTTTACAAAAGTTTCCATATATTATAATTATAAACATAAATATTTGTATCTTTTTTTTGTAATTCAATTTACAATTCTGGAGAAGTTTCAAATTTAATAATAGTATATGTTTCTAAATTTTTTTCAAAGTAATTAAAAATTAAGACACTTATATTCAATTAATTTTTCATAATTATTATAGAAATAAATAGATTTAAAACTTAAAGGACTACTTTACAAATAAAAAATCATATCTCTATTATAGAGAAAAAAATAGAGTCCCTCCAATATGGAGGAAAAAATAGCAATCTCTATTTTAAAGGCGAAGATAGAAGTGGCTTGGAGCACATTTGTTTTTAAACTCTATTTTCATTTCTCAAATAGAGGTGGATTGGAGATGCCCTAAGAAGAAGATTGCATGCTCGTAATGTTTTTCTTCTTCTCCTTTATTATGGGGGTGAATGGTTTGTTCTTATTACCGAAATAATACTCTGTTCTTATTTCCAAACTCTCGTTTTTTTAATAAAAAAATTCGTTCATATTTGGGATATCGTTTGTTTGTTCCCATTAGTCTTTTGATACAAAGTCGCATAGTTTGAATGTTTGGTGTTAATGCCGGCTGATGCTAGCTGTTGTAATATATGGAATGGTTGGATTGCGTTTTTGCAATCAACAAGAATTTGCGGAATGAAATCTATAGAGGTTATAAATCTACACAACTTTTATTATCTATAACATCCATTATTCCATTAATTTAGATTTGAATCAAAACAAGTACAGAAAGTTCCACTAAAGTTAGCAACGAGTGGATAATGCTGATTAGACAATTAAAAAAATCCTCTGTGAAACACCAAAAAGTTAACAAAATTTCCCTATTATTCTTGTTCCTCTGATTTCTATTTGGTTCATCTTTGTTTCCGTAATTTATTTAACCATTTACACTAGGCCTGAAACGAAGCCGGATATCCGGACTCAAGATATCCAGATCTGCATCTGTAACTGCCGGACAATCAATTTTACAATCCGAATTCAGATCTGAAAACTCTGGATATCCGTTCACAAACCAAATATACGGATATCCGATCGGATATCTGGTTTTGTTGATTTAAAAATAATCTCCATTTTTTATAAATTATAATGAAATAACATTGATAATTAAAATGTATTATCATAGCAAAAGTTACAAATAGCAAAGATTTAAAAAGTATTCAAGTAGCATTTAAATAGCAAATTTTTAAAAAAATTTACATAGCAAAAGAGAAAAGTATTCAAGTAGCATTTAAATAGCAAATTTTATCTTCATGTCCATGTGCTATCCATTTTTATGTTCTTCTCTCAAAATCTGAAATATAAAATTATCATACAATATGAGTTTCAATCATATGTAAATGAGTTAAACCAAAAACAACTTTCAAATATGATTGAAACGAAAAATAAATGCATGTCCAATGATTTCTAAACTGATTCTTACCTTATCCAAACTTCACACTCAATATGATCATGGCTGCATATTCAATGTGTTCACTTCTGTAATGTATAAATATTATAAAAAATGAATAAATACTTAACAAACGGATATTAGATATCGGATATCAGTTTTCAAAATTTTCTATTATCCAGATCCGCATCTAAATTTTCCGAATACATTATTTTATTATTCGAATCCGTATCCGTATCTGAACTACACGGATTTTGTTTTTACAGATTAGAATAAAGCGGATACCTGATAATAATCCTAGGACTAATTTACACCCAATGTAGTTAGTGTAAAAAAATAGTAACGTATAAAGACATAACAACCAGAACCAAATACTGAAACAAACCCAAAATAACTGGTTCAGTGTGGTTTACGGTTATGCCTAAATACTTGACTGTTCCTTCTCAATGATATCTGTTGGGACCAAGGAATATCCAAAACATAACTGATACCTAAACGAGTACCTAAATTATTTGAAAATGATATACCCAAAAATATTAAATATACTATGGGATTTTAAGTATCATACTATATTTTAATTATTTTATAGGGTTTTGAGTATATTTTTGATATATTTTCTTTAGTTTTTTTAGGTTGTTAGATATGTTTTTGGATTTTAGGTATACTTTTGATATATCAGCTATATTTCAGATATATTTTAGGCATTTTGAATATTTTGGATATAATAAGTACTCAAACAAATTAAAATCCAAAAATTATTGGATATTTATCAGTTTCTAAATTTCCAAACAAAAACGTTCTAAAACCGACTAGTACCGTACTAGAACCAACCAAAAACATTTTGGTATCTATATGGATCCTAAATCTTCCTATCTGAAATACTCAGAACTGACTTTTTCTATCCAGAACCGAACTGAATACCTAAATGTCCATGAGTAATAAAAAGTCCATAAATATACATCAATTTGATAGAAAAACAACTCTTAAAAAAGTATAATATAATCTAACATCAGAATAACATAAAAGAGAGTATTAAATATGATATCTATATACTTATTTGTATAGTGATTTGTTTAGGTGTTGACTTATCATCGCGTTTCAGAGCGTTTTGTTGACGTATCATTATTTAAAAGAACGCAGCTTAAATTTCAATTACGTGTCAAAAATTCAACTTAAAATGAACCAACTTCAAATTATAACCAAATTTTTTTTTTTAAAAATAACCAAATTAATTTTAGGTGGTTTAGCATTTAACATTATTGTATCTAATTCTAAGGAAACCAAAAAACATTAAAATTCGAACATTACCTAATTTTCAAAGTTATGTGATTTACCAAAATCGTTAAAAAATCCTAATCAAAAGAGAATGTGATGAAGTTTGATATCTGCATATCCCATCTATTGAAGATTTCACCATAGTACGACCTAATTGTTATTGTATTTTTCATTCATCAATAACAATGAAAAAACAAGAGGATTTACCTAAGAAACTAAAAACAGTTCCTGCAAAACTTATTATCAAACGTGAGCAAAGCCACGCTTTTTCCTTCTCTAATGTGTCAAATCTATTATGCTTTCCATGAATGTTGAAATTTAGCTTTTTGATTTTTTACAGTATTGTTTATGCAAGGACGCTGAAAGATTTCTCCAAAGTAGGACTTAATTGTTATTGTGTTTTCCATTCATTAGTAACAATGAAAAAAAAATATTTTCCAAAGAAACCAAAAACAATCGCTGCAAAACCTATTATCAAACGTGAGACAGTGCTTCTTCCTTCTCTGATGTTTTAAGTTATCATCGCTTTTGTTTAAGTGGGTTTGATAATCCAACTAATATTGGCTTAAACCTATTAACGTGAATGCTCTATAGGGAAAAGCATTGTCTCACATATTATAAGCTTTTCATCTTCCCTATTAGCTATAGGATTTTGGCATCGTTATAGAGCTTTAACCTATTAACGTGAATGATGCATATGTCTATAGGATTTTTCCTCTTGCGCAGAACTTTTTTTAATTCCTCGATTAGTGTCGTGTAAGCTCTTGAACAAAACATATACTTGGATCAAAAACCTAAACACGAATCTCAAGAGAAAGCAGAGAAATTTCCATGGTGGGTTTATAAAAAAAAAAGCTACGCTTGGATCAAACAAACAAAACTCGAAATCAAGAGAAAATAATTAAAATTTTGATGGTGATCGTCAGTTCATGAATAAGACATTTATTTAGATCAAAAACCAAAATCCGAATATCCCAAAGAAAGCAGAGAACATTTCTATGGTAGGTTGATGAAAAAAACTATGCTTGAATCAAAAAACCTAAACTCAAAACTCCAGAGAAAACAGAGAACATATCTATGGCAGATAAATGAACAAAACATCAAAAACAAGTAAATGAATTGAAACTACAAATTGCTTTCATTGTTGACACAATGGCTGTCGAATTCATCTCCCAACTGTTGCAAAATCTCCTACATTCTCACACAATATGGACAACACGACTTGCTGCAATTCCACAGAAACCACAATATTGTTTAGAATCTGTGGATGCTTTATCGTATGTATACCCATAAGCTATATTCTTTCTAATTGTATAGTAAAAAGTAGCTATATTCTTTTTCTTTTCTTTTTTGTTCAAACGTCTTTCTTTGTAATTTCAAAAAAAGTAACATGATTATACGTACATACAAACGAAATACAGATACTTTCCGGAGAATATAAACTTCCTCTTCAACCTATGCATATATGTAAAATAAGCTTATCTTCTACATTTGCAGTCTGAGGCAAACTAAATCTATCCACTACCTGCGTCATTCAGAAGATTCACTACAGAATCGATTCGTCAAACATTTTTGAAACTAATTTACTATTCTTACTGATTTTATTCTTGGATATTACAGATGTTTGGCCTGTACTTCAATGTTTCTTCAATATACAATTACCGATAAAGGTAAAATTCTATGGGCTAGCAATATAATCGATGGGATACACACCAAATTATTAATACAAAGCTAGAAGTAATTAACAAGAGCTAATTGCTAATACTGGTGAGACTAAACTCATTTTGATCCTAATACTGGTGAGACTGAAATTGATATTCCCAAGTAATTGTTGAGAACGATGAAATTTACGGGGAACCCTTAGGCACAAAAACTAACTATAAGTTCTTTAAAAATAGATTTGTATTGAGTCCAAAAACTCATTTCGATTCTAATATCAATTATTTTTTTCTTCAGAGATGTGTGTGTTGCTATCAAGTGTTTCTATATTATCTTATTTTAATGTGTTTCTATGTTATCTTATTTAAAACTTAAACGGGAAATTCAGGTACTCTATCTCATTCTCGCTCCTTCCGTTATCCTTTCTGTACCCATGTGAATCATTTGAATAAGATTGGAAATAGGAGGAGAAATTAGAGACATGTCCCAGTCGGGACAAGTTTCCTATCCCGAAATGGACATATCTAGAGGATAGTATCAAGACTTATGATACAAGTTGTGCAGATGACATGGTGTACACCCAATGATTCTTGAATAGGGTCAAGATTTTTGGTTTGCTTAACCATAATTTGGTTTTAAAAATTGGTGCTCAAATTATGCTTCTTAGGAACCTACAAAAAAAAAAGTGAATATTGTTACAAAAAGTTATGACTAATTTTTTTTTTTAACAATTTTGTTACGATTTTCATACGAAACCGTGACAAAATTATTTAGTCATAAAAGCGTTACCATTTCATCATAATATTGTGACAAAATTAAAAGTAGCAAACTTTTGTCACTAATTGTGACGTAATTGTTACATAATATATAGTAACAAATATTGTTACAGATTTGCAACCAAATTTAGTAACTAAATTATACGATTTTTGTGACTAAACTTAAGTCACTCAAAGTTACAAATGTTTTGTAAATACATCATCACAATTAGTTACTATTTTAGTCACTTTTAAGTTTGGTCATAGATTATGACATAATTGTTACCACTTTATGACATAACTGTTACCACTTTGTGACAAGATTAAATCACAAGTTTATTTAAAAATAAATAAAAAATAGTTTTAATTCAGATAAACATCCAAAAACCCAATTAAATGAATTTCTTATTCTATTTTATTTTTATTTTATCTAAAAACTTGTATCTGACATAGTGTTGTTGAAGAAATTAAACAATGTGTATTGCTGAATGCTGATTTTGAGAATTCGAAGATGCTGTTGTTTGTTGAACATCTTGGATCATTAGCATTACTAATTAAATATACTAATAAAGTTTTGGGTAAGAGTTTATGAACAGAAAAGTAACAAATGTCAAATCACCAACGAGTGAGTCAAATATTTTTTAGTATTTTAATAATAGATATATAATAATTTTTATTGACTAATATGTGCAATTTAGGGTATAAATTTTACTTTTATTTTTATTTCAATTGAAATAAGAAAACATTAAAAAATATTGTTTTATTCTGAGAATACATAATAGAATAGAAAAAACTATTACAAAATACAAAATAAAATAAAAAGTTAATAAGTGTAAAATTTGAGGTTTAGGATAAAAAGATATAGGATTTGAAATATATTTTTATATTTTTATTACTATAGAAACTTAATAACTTTTTGGATTAAAGAGTGTTTGATTTAGAGTTTAGGGATTCACGCTTGTAATATATCTTTGTTATTTTTCAGGTTATAAAAAAAATTATACAATAAATTATTGTTTCATAATAAGAGCATAAAATGAAATAGAAAAAAACTATTACAATATACATAAGAAGAAAAAGTTGGTGAATCTTTTATTTATAGTTTATGGCATATGATTTGTGGTGTAGATTTAATGGTATAAAGTATAGAGTATAGGGTATGTATATATTTTGATGGTTTAATGTATAAGGGTGTAAGACATAGATTTTGGGTTATAGGGTTTAAGATTTAGGTTTTCGGCAATCACATAATTAAAAAATATTTAATCATTTCAAATCACTTAAAAACATTTAAAATGTAAAAGTTAAATTTACTTGAAAAATAAATAACTCATAAACTGAAAAATATAACAAATATTTATTTAAAAATAAATAACTCATAAAAACATATCCCACGAACGAAGAATATGAAAACGGACAACTTAGCATGAAGTGTTTGGATCTACTCTCACGATATAAATTATGTAAACTCGATACCTCGAATTTGGATTACTAAACTGTTCTACGTATCTAGGCTGTTGACAAAAAAAAAGCTCATAAACTTCAAATATTCTATTATAGCACTTGATGCTAAACCATAATTTCACCAAAAAAGAAGCAATAAATGATTTTGGAGCCTAATTTCTGTCAGGGCGCTAAATACTTAGGAAAATTTTAGTTTTAGTGAAATGTTTTCCCCTAATTTTTTTAGGGTTTTGACAGAAATAATTTTTTTTCCTCCTCTCTTCTTCCTCACACAACACGATTCTCTCTATTTTTTTCTCTCTCTTTAATTTTTATTTTTCCCTTCCTCCTCACGAAACACGATTTCCTCTCTTAAGTTTTTCTTCATCTTCTCATCTCCTCCTCTTCTCAAAATGATTCTCTCTCTCGTATTTGGTGTGACTTCATCCTAAACAAAGAGCGCCGTCGAGATCCAAAGCTTCCTTTCCTGAGCTTGACATCGGCGACTGGTGGTGGTATGGGTATGAGCTTGGTCGGAGACAAGGGACTTCACGCCAAGGGTTTGAACTGGTTGGCTCTTTTCTGACGTTTTTGTGCTTTAGATGGAGAAACGGATCTGTATTAGGGTTTGTTGGTGGCAGTTTGGAGAGAGCAATTCAAGCCTCGTGGCTGTGCTCACAAGAGGATGCAATATATAGAACCTGTGTGCCAAAAGAGGTAAAGGAGGAGGGGGGATTGGATCAAGTGGAGAAGGAGTTCTCTATGACCCTGATTTCCTCATGGTAGCCGACGATCCCAACTCCTATCGTCCCAGTGGTAATTAACTCTGCGATGCTCCTTCACCTTTCATTGCGGATTTTTATATGCTTTATTTTGCGCACACAATGTGTTCGATGAAAGTGCTTGCTTTTCTGAGTTTATTATGATCTTCTCTTTTTCTGATAGTTCAATCACCCGGAGTGGAAATGAAAGGCTTTTTTCTAAAACTGCAGGTTCACATCCAGGAGATAAGGTACCTTTTTCATTTCTGTTTGATTTTGATGAGACATTGTGGTAAGAGTTCATCAAATCCAATTGTTAAACCAACAATTTAGTTAAGAATGTAATCAGTTTAGAAAAGAGTTAGGTGCTGTTATCATGCGTCTAGGTGTTGTGGAAGCCTCTGGGCTTATGGAGAGCTGAGACTGCTCGTTGATATACTCTCATTTTGTGTTTGTTGTAACTGACAAATATCATTTGGTTAATTGTGTTGTTTTTTGTTGGTCGCAATATATCAGGAGTGAATTAAAAAAGAAAATTGTTCACATATTCCCTCTCTCTGCTCTCTGAACCTATCAAATTGGTTTTAAGATTGTTTTGTCAATGAATATATTGGTTTTCGGAGGAAATGTTTATGTTGGTTCTCATATCTGCAAGGAGGCACTGAGACAAGGTTTCTCCGTATCTAGTCTTAGCAGGTATTTTGTGTATCATTACCAGCTTTTGAGTTTCAGTCCTTTTTGTTTTAAATCTGCTTTGTTAGCCATAATGTATTTACATAGTTTAACCTTAGTATTTGCATTGTTATTAGGTCTGGATGATCTACTTTGCATAATTCATGGGTCGAGGATGTATTCTGGCATCAGGTACTCCCAAAATCCAAAAACGCATTCTGTTTCTTCCTCAATTTGAAAACTAAAAGACTTTGGAAAATGACCTGCCTTTCTGTTTTTTTTTTTTTAACTAAAACAATATGTGATTTGCTCACCTGATTATCTGAAGCCTGCACTAGAAGGAATAACATCTGAGGTAATTATGAAATCATCTACTAAGGTACTTCAGCATAAAGTTTCTTTCAACAGCAATCTCATATGGAAAAATTTACAGATTTCATTTGTTGGTGGTTTCTGTTCCAACTCACATATGGTCAAGATGGGTATTGAGCCAGGTTTGCAAGTTGTAAACCAGATGAAAGCTTCTTCGGGCAAATACAACAGCAAGTTTGAGATTTCTTTCAAGGCGATAAAGGTCAAGCTTGAGATCCGAGGACGATACTGAGCAACCTATCCTTTATTCACAAGTTTATAAACTTATTTTTTAATTATGTACTTTTACTTTGTAATACTGATCTTTTGTATCATTGTTTCATTTATGAAAATATAGCTTTTTAATATGGTCAGTTTATCATTAGTTAATTAGTAGTTAATTAGGACGAAAAATAGTTGCAAATTAAGATCGATAGCCAATGTTATTTATGTCATTACTTGTGACGATCTGCAACTAAATTTTCGTCGAAATAAGTTACGTAATTAATAGTAGGTAAGTATAACGAATAGGTAACGATTCCCTAGTCATTATTTGCGACGATTTAGAACTAAAATTTTGTCAAAATGAATGACAGATTTGAGACATTATAACAGTCATAAAATATGACGGTCTGAGACGTTTTCTTTAGTCTCCAATTGATACAGTTTTGTTACTTTAATTTTTCGTCACTATTGATGACGAAGTAGTTACTAGATATATTCGTCACAACAGATGTGACGTTTTTGTTACGAAAAAAAAATTGTGACGACTGTATTGTGATGTCCAAAAAATGTTACAATTCCATCACAATAATTTTATTGCTACGAAATTATGCTTATTGTGACGAAATTTTTTTGTCCTAATATAGTTATTTTCTTAGTGGGATTATTGATCTGAAGGGTGGATAATGCAACGACACGCGATTCATACTAACTTAGGTTGCTAATCATGTTCTAGAGAATGCGGGGTTGTAGGACCAATACCAGTCTTTTCTCATGAATAACTTTACGTTTGGGTTTTTAAAGTTACTTTAAAATTGAGTAATGTTTTTTAATACCCGAATTTTATTTACTGATCGCTTTTCTGTGATATCCCGTCTTAAATCTCGAAATGAACATGCCTAAACCATACATAAGAAAATTTTAACTATTTGTTTTTGTTTCTTAGTGCAAAAATAATTTGTGTTTGATATTGAGTTCACGCTTGCTTAACTATACAAATTTTATAGTTGTAAAAATATTTCTTCATTGCTTGATACACATGATACAAAAGACACATGAAGCGGATTGTATAAGAAGTACAGTAAAACATCTATAAATTAATATTCGATAAATTAATAATTATTATAAAATAATAAATGTTGCTGATGTAAATTTCCATCAAATTTGATAAGATAATAAAATATTTTTTTTTGAAACTCCTATGTAAATATATGGTTTCAACAAAAATATAAATTAATAATTATATAAATTTATGTAAATATATATAAATATAATAATCTAAAATATGACTAATGTGTTTGAATTTACTTAAAGTTGAATTCTAATTGGATCTCATCTCTCTTATTATTATGTCCGTAGTTCTTATTATTGTTTTACGATATGCATTCAAAATTTATGATGATTTTTTTGATGTGATAATTAATTTTCTTACCTGTAAATGTTTCTAAATGTATTGTAGTGTTATCTTCAATTTTACAATAAATAATAAGGATATTAGCCATAGTTTTTTTTTTAAAATTTTAAACTTATGAATATTTCTATTTTTATACGGACAATCCAATCTTAAACTATTAAAAACTATTATATTGTGATAGTTATGATTGTTAATCATAATTTGTATTAAGAGATTTATTTAAAATTTTAAATATAACATTATTCATAAAAATGTTTAAAAAAATATAGGCAAAAAACTAGTTTCCTCTATAAATTAATAATCATCAATTTATATATAAATTAATAAAATATTATGATCCCGACATTATTAATTTATAGAGGTTTTCTTTAAGATGGAACTATGGTCTGGTTTTCATTAAAAATTTTCAATCAAGAATTTAGAAATTGAAAAGTGGATGTTTTAAACAACAATAATCAACTTTAATTTAAATCTGATTATGATGAGATTGTATTGATACACATATTATATATGAACGAATATTGATTTTAGATTTTTTTGTTTTGACGATAAATTCAATCAAATTTTTGATTTAGTCTAATTAATGAAAAAATAGAAATAACATATTATATAATTTTTATTTATTTTAAGATTCTGTTTATTAAGTGTTTGTAGCCTGCACACGATACGGGTCCATTAGCTAGTGTAATTTTATTTAACATGAGATCATATGGAATCGGCAAAAACAAACAAAGAAAAGAAAAAAATTTACTTGAAAATGACAGGAAATAAGACGAATCTGATCGATAAAAAAAGACGGTAGAGAGAAAAAAAGAGGGGCAATGGAGAGAGAAAAATAGGGGGCAGCGGAGAAAAAAATATGAAAATGATAATATGATTTAAATATCTCTTTTAAGTTTTAATATTTTCGTATAAAATAAAAAAATGGTATTTCCTAATAAATTAAGTAAGAAATTGATTGAAATTCGTCTACTAAACTTACTTTGAAATATGCTAATTAAATAGACTGAGAAATTTGACCATAAGCAAAAAAAAAGTAAGTTTTATTAAATCAAATATTTACTAAAAACTTAAGAATCGTACTAGTTACACATTCGATTTGTGTTTAGAGTGATCTTTTTTTTAAATTAAATTATACTGTTTGGGTATCGTCCATATGCCCAACCTCCTAGTCATCCAACAAAATATTTTGTTTTGAAAAATCAGATTTAGGGGAGTGTTAATGGAGAGTAGATTTATTTAAGTTGTGGATTTTTAGAGTTTAAGATTTTATAGTTATTGGTTTGTGAATTTTTATATTCGTAATAGATTCCACTGTTATTTATTTAGAGATTATAAAAATCAGTTGTTATTGATATGATGATTTTTATAATCTAATCAAAATCCATTGTTATTCAAAAAAATTGCATTTTAATGTTTATATATTTCTGTTATAATCTACTGTTATTGGCATAATGATTCTTTACACTTTAATTCATAAATCATGATTCTCAAAATATTACCTATATTGCTTGGATTCTTAAAATCTGTCACATAAAAAAAAATTTAATAGATTGTTTAAATCCATAAAACTCTCTCTAAGTTTTGCAAATCCAACAAAACTCTTAAAAATTTGACAAATCTCATGATTTTTAAAATCAACTAAAATCTTCATAAATCCAACTCCAAATAACCTCCCCCCCCTTAATGATGTCAGGGGTTGCAATTCCTTTTTTTTTTCCTAAGACCTCAACCCTTTTATGGGGAATATTTTTTCTACTCATTTTTGTTTCTATTTTATTTGTATAAATTGTTTAACAATTTTTTGTATTTATTTAAAAAAAACGCATATACCATAATTTATAAATATAAAATTTCTAAGAAAGTGGATAAACTAATAAATTAAATTTCATTATCAATAAAAAATATAGAATAAAATGATATTGTATTCTATATAGAATGATACAATCTTAGTGAAGTTTGCGTATCCATTTTTCTAAGAAAACCTTTTTTATCAATTTTAAAAGTTCACACATATGCTATTTCCTTGCATATGTCATGGTTGAAAATTAAAAAGATTAAGTGCAAAATTTTTCTAAATGAATACGCGAGTCTTAAACAATATATACATTATATAGAATAGAAACAACAATTTTTAACATATAAAATAAACTATTGTTATCTTCTATACAGAATAACGAAATACTTACTTAGTATATTAAAAGATAAATATGTTGTTTAGTAATTGTAACACCATGGTATATGCAGAAACCGACAATACAACAGCAAAAAATGCGCATATGATATGGTTTGAGGTCTGACGAAATGAAGATAAACTTCTGAAAAGTTTGTTAAGTCAATCTAAAAAGGGTTATTGGGAGTTGGATTTATAAATATTTTGATTGATTTAAAATTAGAAAATTTTTCAAATTTTCAAGAGTTTTGTTAGACTTATAAAATTTGCAACGAATTTTATGGATTTAATAATGGAAAAATTTACACTCTCTTTTTTAGTTTGTATTTACACTTTTTGCACTTTCAATTGTAGTAGCACTTTTTACACAAACTGCCGAGTGAAAAGTCGATATGAGCCCTTATTAACTTTCTTATTATTAAACCGACTAACAATTTTGCTTTAACCAATGCAAACTGACAGCTTGTGTTTTGTTCTTGTTTCGAAATCGGTCGATGTTAGCTCTGAACAGAAACTGGAGCTGCCTCCATGCCTTATTCCGCTTGCTCTGTTAAAGCTCTACGTAGTTCAATCGAAGGTGTAATTGAGACTCATAAATAGGTGATGACCGAAACTCACTGCGATCTGGGTGAGTTGTGTCTCGTTCCGATACGCAGGAATCGGTTAATAATTTGGCATCGAATTAAAACAATCCAATTCCTGGGTACGGCTTAGCATGAATCGTGCGGAACGATCACCACAGCCGGATGAGAGCCTTGCCTCGATTGATCTCCATCCACCGCGTCGTTTGTTCGCTCAGGAGTGTAAATGGCAATCGTATGGATGGAGATCAACAACTTCAAAACACTAATCCACACATCATCCTAAAATCTGCCATCGTATGTACAATGGACTCGACAACCTAAGAACACTGATCCACCCACCATCGTGTTTCCATGTAGTCTTACACGCACGAAACATTCATATAATAGCTTGTCCATAACAGGGCCAATATCTCATTGCCTGTGAAAAATCAATGGTTACCTGCAGTGAGTCCTCCGCATTTCCATAGATTTGCCATCGCATGTACAATGATTAACAACATCAAATTAGAAGGATATAGATCCACTCCCGTAGACATATCCATTGTATATTAGAGGTTCACCCACAACCATTGTTATTGGATGTATACATTACTAATATCTTGTCCATTTAAAGGCCCATACCACATTGCCTTTAATCGTACTCAATCCACAACGAATCGCAAAGGTCATGTTCATATATCGGCCATCGCATCTCCCTAACATTGCCATCACATTTCGGCCAATGTTTGTTGCCCATCGCATGTCCATTTCACTGCCATCGCATGGAGAACGGTAAACAACTTCAAATCACTGATCCACACACCATCGTATATGATCAGGAGTAATGCATCCATATATTTATAGGCATGTATATCCCACACACACGAAATTTCATATTATCTCTGTCCGTACACTATGCTTCATAA